GGGGAGGGGGAGGGGGAGCTGCGGCGCACGGAGATGACAGCTGGTCACTAAGGCAACAGGCCACACCCCCGGCCGGGGCGCGGGTCGATGACGTTAGGGAAGGGGGGAAGCGCCGCCGGCGGGGTTGATTCAGGCTGGGACAAAGGGGCGGTGACGAAGGAAGCCGAGCCCCACGCTCGCTGAGAGGAGCACAGGCGCAGTAGAAGCAGTGGCCGGGGTTTGGGCTGTGAGAGCGGCTACGGCACTGGGTTGCCTCTATGACTGGCTGGGGGGGGACAAGCCGTCACGAGACGCAGCGCAGAAGAGCACCCTAGAGGCAGTCGCAGTGGCTCAGCGCCCCGTCCCGCCCCCCGGGGGGTCTTTGAAGGGGTTAGGGTGTCGGTGGTCTACGAGTTTTGGTGCACGCAGCAGAGCTGGAGAAAGGGAAAGGAGGGGGCAGCAGGATGGGCCCTGCCAGGGGCAAGTAGGCACTGTAGTGTCTGCACGGGCACCGCTGCTCCTCCTGGACAGGAGGGTGTTGTACGGGGTTACCTTCTCCTCCCGCCCTTGGCTCTCCCTTCACCTGCTCATGGAAACACAAGCCAAATCTGCTCCCTAGCTTATAATGGGGAGTGGCCAACCTGCAGGATGCTGCCACCCGCCAAGGGCATAGGCAGCCTGTGCATGCAGCAGACCCAGGAGAGAACAGGGAACCCAGCAGCAGATTAGCAGGGAGCAGAGCCCTAGATGGAGGAGAAAGCAGGGCAGCAGATGAGGCAGGGACCAGAAAGCAGGGCAGTTATTCAGGCTGGGAGCAGAGAGCTGAGCACCCCCTCAGGCAAGGGAAAGGGATAGGATCAGAGTGGCACTCAAGGGGGTGCGGCTAATTTGTTGCACACCTGCCAAAAAGAAGCGTGGCCCCCAGTGCTTTATGCAGTGGAACAAGCTGGTAGTACCCTGGTCTAGGGTGTCACCAAATGGGAGATGCCAGGAATGTCTTTCACAATTGCCACTGGAAGCCTGTGGTGCTGGTGTTGTGTTTCTTGTCTGTGGAAGCATCCAGCTCACTACTAATCAGCAATAGAAAAGAAAAGGGGGAAAGTATTATTTCATCCATGTCCTCTCCACAACCATTCTGCAGTTCCTTTTAACCCAGAGTGTCAGCTCTACTCATAAAGCACGTTGATATCAACCTCCCTTTCCTCTGCAATTGTGGTGAAAGAATTTGGTTTCCTACCACAAGTTTTTACCATCAAGAGTCAACATCAGTTCACAGAGGAAACAAGTACTGCTGGCCTCCCACCCTAGCTTGGGTTGCTTCAGTGACTGAAAAAGCACCCTGTCATCTTCTCATGGCGGCAGGATAGCTATTGGCAACTAGGCCTTGGCTGACTTACGCTGCAGTGTTTCTGGATTTTCGGACCTAGCATACCCTTCTCAAAAGTCATCTTGGGTTATATGCTGCGTCTGTCTCTAGTTTTTATGGTCCTAAAGAAAAGTTCTCTTGAGAGCTCCAGGTGCTCTTTGTAGACAAAAGATGGAAAGCAGGACCAGTGCCTGAATCTTCTTGCTTTTATGTCCAACATAATTGTGTTCACTATGTATGTACATAAGTATGCTTCTTTTAAATGTAATCTCTTATTCCTCTCACATGCTTCTACATCTGTCTAAATGCTACGCAATTGCTCTTATTTTGAAATCACTAGTGAAATTACCAAGAACTTTAACCACATGTAAGGGGAAAAAAAGTACCAATAATTATAGAAGTTAAATGTTAGCCAATGCATTTTCAAACCTATCACCTCCCTGCTTTTTCATCTGAATTTTTTTAAAACAGGGCTGCAACTATCAGCGTTATGAACCAGGAGTGCTAACCACTGGCCTGCACGCCAAATATGGCCTACAGAGCCATCTCATCTGGCCCATGGATCCAGAAATTTGGCAGCAAGAGAGAGATGGCCACCCTGCCCCCTGCCAAATTCCCAAAACACGAGCCCCGCATGCCTGGTCAGAGCCCAGGTGTACCCCCATTCCATGCCGAGCCAGACCACACCCCCTCCCCTCACTTCTAGACTGAGCTGGGCCAGGTTGGGGCAAGGCATGCTTACTTCCACCCGGGCTGGGTTTGGGCCTAGCCAGGGCCCCTCCCTCAGCGTTAGGCTAAGGCTGGGCCACACTTCCTCCCCCCGTGGGGCCGAATCAAGCTTCTTTCTCCTGCAGGGGTGAGTTGGAGCCAACCTGCCCCCTCCGTCTCCTCCATGTAGCTGAATGGTGCCTGCCATACCTGCCCTGGGCACTGGATCAGGACCACTGGCCAGACCTGGCCCACAGTCAGACTTGGTGCTGCCCATCCTGGCTGCAGGGGGAAAAGGTTGAGCACCACAGAAGTTTCTTCTGTTTTCTTAGACTTTTCCTCACGTGGGATGCCAATGCACTGCAGTGCCATGCAGAAACACCTGAGCTTTCTTGTTCAGTTAATACAACCCAGTCTCTACTGGAATACCTAATATATACATTTTAGGCTTGCATTTGCTTTGTTCATAGCTGTAACTACAAGCCACTAGTGGCTTGTAGTTATCCTGTGATTAACTTGCACATACAGGAATTCAGATGGCTTCCATTTATCAAGAAGAGTCTTCATTCTATAAATATCTTCCACTGATCAAATATGCCCAAACCTTCCTACAGCACCAGTCCCTCTCTCATGCGCTCTAGCTTCTCAAGTGGAACATCTCTACTTTTCAGGCTATTCTTCTTGTCTTGACCTCTGTGTTCAATTAGCCCTAGTTCCCACTCTGTTCAGGTGCCAGCTTCCCTTCCCATTCCCACTCCCCTGATGAGTCTCAGCAAGAATCTGGCAGTGTCATTTTCCCTGACAGGTAGACAAATGTCTTACTGCCATCAGAATAATTTTCAGTCTTGGGTCCACTTCCCCTATCCTTGCCCCTGGTAGACTACACTGGTGACATACCTGTCAATTCTTCTTCATAAGTATTTGTTCTATATTAGCATTTCAGTTTTCTGCTACTCGAACAGAGTACATCCCTAGGAGGGTCCCCAGGGTACAACTTATATAAAAATTTAGATAACAGTCCCATGCAAAACAGCACCAGTTCATCGCTTTGGATAAAGGGAGAGGGTTGGTCAATGGACCAAGACTTAGGCCTTTAAAACACTGCTTGCTTTGACATACATAGACAGGGATGTACTACTTTGTTTTTTATAAGCTATTTCAAAGGCAGCCAGGAGCTTCACAAACATTAATACATTTATCTTCTCAAAACTTGTGTGAGATAACGGAGTTTTACAGATGAGGAGCTGAGACAGAGAGATGGGTAAAAACACTCACTAATTGTGGGTGCCTAATCTAAGATGCTAACCTCCTGGTTGTTCAGAGAACTTGGCATTATATACCACTTTATATACTCCAAAACAGTGACCCACTGAGTTCAAATGTAGAAGCCAGTGCTCAGCACTTCTGCAAATCAGCCCCATCTAGCTCAGAAAGTGAGGGATGCATAATTAGTAACCGTCTATGATAAGTTTGGTTTGAGTTACTTCTTCAAAAAGGAAGTACTTTACAAAGGATCTCTGTAGTAGAAGCATGGCTAAAATATTCCCTGGGGTAGTTTTCTTTCTTAACTACAAGAGGCTAATTTTTCTTCCTCCAATCCCAACTCTGTCCTTGTCAGATCTGTTTCTTCCCCACTATTACACTTCCCCTAGTCCTAGTCTCTTAGCCAAGCCAGACCCTTGGCACTTCATCTGATCACAGTTTCACTTCAGGCTTTTCTTCCCCCTTCATTTTCCTCACCAGTTTCTCACTTGTCTACTAGACTCCTCTGTGTTCTAAAGGATAGCATCAGACAATCTTAATAATAGGCAGGGTCACTAAGCTTGGATAAAAATAGATCTAAAAGCCATTAAATTCAAATGTAGAAGGTAAAAAGTATAGAAATTCAGCACTAAGATACTCCACAGAGTCTTAAATCCATCCTCATATCTCTACTATCCCATGCAGCCTCTATAAAAAAGTAGATGTGTTTAGCTGAAGTGTTTCTTCCCCAGGCAGTGAAATGTTAAACCCAGGACAACTTGGCTATTTTTCCAGGAACTTTACCATCCTAGGGCATTTAAAACCCTGCATATTTTATCTGCAGCTGTAGAGACCATAAACCACAGTGGTCACAGTGGTTTATAATCACAATGTCTTAGGGATTAAATTGTCCAAAATCCAGAGGTAACCTGCATACAGTATTAAAATATCCAGGGCCTGATCTGAGGGAAACACTAGGAAGATACAAGAGCAGTTGGTTAGGTCTCCAGGATGTTCACTAAAGTATTGGTGGTGCCTTGTAATGGTAATAACATCCAGCTTTCATAAGTGGTTCTCAAAGTACTTGACAAAGGAGGTCAGTATCCTAATCACCATTTTACAGATGGGAAAACTGAGACACAGAGATAAACTGGCTTCCACACAGAGCTTCTCCAGTGTCAGGGGCCCTCAGAGGCAGCCCAGCCTGGCTTAATTGC